GTCCCACACGGGACGGCGGGGCGCCCGGCATCGAGCTTGCTCTCAAACGACAGGCACAGTCGCCAGATGCCGCCGTTCCCAGCGCCCGACCTTGGCACTGCTCTGTCACCAAAGCGCCGCACTCACTGGCTACGGCAGCAGCGCAGCAGCTGGACCCATCCCTCATCGACCTTACGGGATTGCGACATTCACCTTCTCGACACCCGCCTCGTCTCCCCACCAGAAACGGCAGGGCACGGCACCAACCGCCCATCCCAAAACAAGCATACGGTGTCAGCTACATCATCACGGGCTGCCTACGCTGTGCACTGTCCCACGGCCAGACAGAACCCCAGACTAACGCCGCGGCTCTCTCACCCACAGGGTGACATTTAACGACGTGAGACTGCGCAGCGTCTCACCACATGGCGACAGCTACGGCGTCAGGCCACGCTACGCAGTGGCTCCGCGGCCACGCAGGCTTCCAAAGCCCGCCGCGGCTCTATCGCCCACAATCCGCGATTTCATTTGGCGTAGATGCAGCTTTGCGGGCGCCACTTCGTCTGGCGTAGCCCTCGTGGGTTCGTGCCCAGACGGAACCCCGGAACCCGCCGCAACATTCTCGCCCGCAACAGTCCTGACCAGCGCCAATTTAGGGAGTCCTTCCACGCGCCTCACTATTGTTAATTCAATCCCACTATCAGATGGGGCTTCGGAGGCACGCGACACGAAGGACAAACTACCAGTCTGGCCGACCGGGAGCTTTCACCCAGCCTCCCACTCCCTCCCACTCCCTCCCCGCTGCCCCCTTCCCCACAGATTTGTCTTCTCCCCCGCCCTCACTAAGCGTCACCTCCACCACCTTTGTGGGGCAGGATTGGCGGGCGAGAGTCAGCGGGGGTGCACAAGGGGACCGCCGTGGGCCGTCCTGGCGGTGGCCATGGCGGCCGCGGCCACCAGTCCCGCCCAAGCAACGCTAATGCCCAGACCACTTTGCCGCCAGCCAGCCCTGCATTGGCCAAGGCGGCCGTGTCTACGTTTTACGCGCCAACCTACCAGTCGCATTGCATGCCGCCAGCCAGTGCACGTCTTACCCTGCGTCTGAGTACCCTGCGCCATTCTGCACGCTGCAACGGGGTAGTCGACGCAAGCAAGTTGCGCCACCCGTCCCGCCCGTTTCGCCACGGCTGCTCCACTGCAGCAGAGCTGCCTTGCATGTCTCTCGCGTGGCGGCCTTGCGCTCACCATTGTCCCTCCACCTCGCCCCCTCGCCGCGTGGCCCTAGGTTCGCCGCCCGCCCCCGCCTCCCGGGGGACGCTTTACCAAAGGACCAAGGAGGCACAGCCTCCACTTGCCACCTTGAGCTCCTCCTCCTCCTCCTCCTCCTCCTCCTCTTCCTCCTGCTCCTCCTCCTGCTCCTCCTCCTCCTCTCGGAGGCAGGGATCGGGGGAGGCAGTCCTTCCTGGGAGCTGGGAGGAGAGGAGGGGGCTTGTCGTAGGATGGGGGGGTGGGAGCTTCGCCATCCCGTGGCCGCCGCCACGGGATGGCGCAAGCTTC